TGCACTGTCATGTCTTCCTGCTGTGACTCATCTGACGTGTTCAGACAGCCAGTGATTCAGTGAGCAGCTGAATACTTCCGCTGTATCACCAGAGCTCCTTTATCACCAGCTACACCACCTGAAAACTTAGGATTTGGGGAGAAGTAATTTAGTTTCTCTGTCTCCCTTAATTATCTTCACAATCCTAAGAGGAAATGATTGCTAGCCCCATTGAACAGATGAGGAAATTGATTATCAAAGTATGTACGTGGCCCATGTGTCCTCAGAAAAGCCTCATTGCTTTCAAATCAGAACCTACTCATTGAGGACCTTCCACTGGGTTTCTGAGGTTATAAATCTCACAGATTTACACACAGAGGAGATTACTCATCTTTCTCCTGCAGCTGCTGTTGGCCTCAGACTGCCAGAGAAGCACAGCTTTTCAGCAAACCACACACTCCTTGTGGACGGACGGCTCTGTCGGAGATCCTTTGGCCCATATGTGTTGCCAGGTACCATCAAGTCGGAGCTGGCTCTTTTTCATATGCTAAAAATCACATAAGAAGTGATTAAACACACACACACACACACACACACACACACACACACACACACACACACAGAGAAGTGATTACCCATCTTTCTACCATACAGCTGTCTGTGGATTCGAACCACATGTGTTCAGGTTGGCAGTGCATCTTCTCACCACTAAAGCCACCAGAGCTCCCTTGGCTCAGGCATAGTATAGTCCTCTGAAAACAGGAGCAGTGACTCTGCATCGTTATTTATTAGCTGTAAAATAAGCCAATATGACTTGATGAAATAGATGAAAAATTTAAAAAAACTTCCCCCTATGGTATAACCTCTTGGGTCTCAAATGAAACACAATGTAAATAAAAGACTAAAATCCAATGTACAGGAATGAAACACAAAATATATGAATGATTGCATGCAAACCAATAAAAATACATGAAAAAAGAAGCCTTAAGCATTTTAATTAAAAAACTTCAGGCATGTTGCTTGGAGGGACTATTCCTTGGGGAGGGCCATGATGCTTGGAAGGATGGAGTGTCAGCGAAGGAGAGGAAGACCCTCAACCAGGTGGACTGACACGGTGACTGCTGCAATGGGTTCTAGTGTGTCAGGAAGAGTGAAGATGGCACAGGGTATGGTGGGGTTCACATCTGCTGTTCATAGGGTCACTATGAGTTGTACTCGTCTCAACAGCACCTAACAACAACAACAACAAACATTTTAAACATTAAGAAGTCATGTGAATTGATAAAATAGATTAAAAATTAGAGATGTATCTTCCTACTATACTAGAGGAGCAGTGATGTTAGTTTGAGGACTAAGGTGAGCCTGAATCCGGCCACAGTCTTTTCAATCACTTGCTGTGTTGCTGAGAGCTGGATGATGAAGGATGACCAAAGAAGAATTGATGCCTTTGAACTGTGGTATTGAAGAGCGTTGACTATCCCATGGACTGCCAAAAGAACAAGCAGCTATATCTGGGAGAAGGTACACCCAGAGTGTTATTTGGAAGCAAAGATGATAAAAAATAATTTCACATACTTTGGGCATCTTGCTAGAAGGTATTCCTTGGAGAGGGACACCTTGCTTGGAAAGGTTGAGAGATTGCAAAAGAGAAGAAGACCCTCAACCAAGAGGGTTGACACAGTGACTGAAGCAGTGCGCTCATGGGCGTCAGAGATTGTGTGGGTGGCACAGGGGAGGCAGAGCATAGGATCGCTATGAGTTGTACTTGACAGCACCTAGCAACAACTGTGATACATTTGATAGGGAGCTTTGATGACCTATTGGTAAGAAGCTGAACTGCAGTTCCAAAGGCACACAGTTCGAATCCTCCAGCTGCTCCCCAGGAAAATGATGGGCAGTCTTCTCTTATAAGATTTACAGCCTCTCAAAACCCAGTTGAGGGTCAGCTGTGAGTCGGTTCTGACTTGATGGCACACAACAAATAAAGACTGTGAGACACCCTCATGGTCTCAAAATTCAGCTCCTTTAAAAAGGACATTAGAGGATTTAAGGATTTTTCTGATGGCCCGTTGATTGATTAAATGTTGTTGTGTTGTTGTTATGTGCCGTCGAGTCGTTTGCGACTCATAGCGACCTTATGCACAACAGCCCTAA